GAACTATTCTCATTCTTTTAACAAAACATTATACTGGCCTGTGATCTTCATGATAATGTAAATAATTTTTGTTTGATGGGCAGATGTTTGATCATGTTGAACTATCAAAAGAATGTAACTTGAACTTTTATCATTTTGATTGAGTATTTAGATTACTTTCTTTATTTGAAATTTTTGTTAAAGAGAATGCACAAAAATAGCAATTGGAATGCAACATGTGTTCACTTAACCTATATAATTAGATAATCTCAAATGGACTAGAAGGCCTACCATGATTTATTATTGACAGCCATAATCTTACCATCATAAGATATATGGATGAAACAGAAAAAAAATTTGAAAGAACTCTTACATAAGATAATAAAGGAACTCAAGAAGAAAGGACTTTTTATTAATGGTAACAAGACAAGGATACACCTTATCAGCAAAAAAGACAGCCAAAGATACAAGCTTTATATCAAGAAAATTTAAAATAAATGAAATAAAGAAATTGATTTTATATCATGTTTTACTACACACATCCCCTAAAAGGGAAACCATTTTTTTGCATTTGTATGCCTTCAGCTACAGATAAAATATATTGTTGGTCATTTTGCTTTAAAAATGTATTGTTGATAATTTTACTATAAATAGTTATTGTTGGTAATTTTTCATATAAAAATATATTGTTGGTATTTTTGCTGTAAAAATGTATTTTAATCCTTTCATAGTGTTTTATTTTTGTTTGGGGGTGTAAGGAGACAATAATTGTCTTTCCTTGGATTGATGCCAGGGTTTAGGACATTAGACGTCCATTGGTCACATGGGAATTCAGCCCCTTACCAAAACTTGTTTTTAGAGAAGTTTTTTGTTTTGTTTTTTGTTTTTCCTGAAGTCCATATATGTGGATAAACAGACATTATGTTTACTGCTTTTGGTTGAGTGTAAACAAGATCTTTGTCTCCAACTTTGGCGAGGCACTTTATTTCATCTCATCAAGAGAAACAGAAAAAAGTAAGACACTTTGTGTTTATCTTTTATGCACCTCAGTCAGACATGCTCGTTCTTGGATCAATGTATGCATTCATCTGTTTGGAGACACATGCAATTTGTTGTAATATTTTTTTGTATTTATTAAATGTTTTAATTGTGCATGGATGTATCTCATCTTTCATTTCCGTTTATTCACTGTTAGTGTATAAATAGATACACTAATGCTAATATTAGTACCTGGTAAGTGGGGAAAGTATTAAATATATTCCTAGCACCAGATTGCCAGTCATTTATGACTGGCAAATAAAATTATACTAATAAGTGGTACTAATAGTGGGTGTTCACTATTTGCCTATAGCTGAAACCCTAACAGGTGCTACCACACCAGACCATGAAAGAGATAATGCATTATCATAGAAAACTCAATGAAACATGCCATGAAAATAGTAAATGTACAACAAAACAAATGAAAAACAAATGAGTTGAAACAGGAATCAATGTTTATGGCAGAACTGTAAAAAAATCAGTTAAATGAAATAAGATTTACATCCAGAAAAGCTAAACAAAAACAAATACTAACACACAAACAGAAGAAAATGAGGTTAAAGCCAACTAAAGAGAAACAATCATGATGTATGGACAAAAGTATGAAAATGATGTTCAGTGATGAATCTGTATTAGCCAATATAATGGTGCTAAAACTTTTGTCTGGTGCCATTCAAATAAAACACATGAAGATATGTAGTGAGTGCAAAATAATAATAACTCCCTTCACCCATTCCCTTTAAATTTGGAGAACTGAGGAAGAAGAAGGCAAAGAATTCCTGAGTCTATATGAAATTTCCTTTAAGACAATGAAAAGCTTGCCTTTACAGAAATTGATTTGTGAGCTAAGAAGAAGAAGCAAAGGAATTTGTGAGCCTATGTGAAATTGTTTTTGTTGTAACCTAGAAAGAGTTACTGAATGTGGAATAACCAGAAACGGAGGTTGGAAATGAAATGGTAATCTTTATAATATCAAGAAAATACAATACTCGCCAGCAGCGTAAACTAGGTAAACCTCTGCTAGTGATGGACTACTTAGCATATTGTCCACACTTACAATAATGTCTAACGTATTTATGAGGATTAGGACATACTCATTAGTGTTCATAGGTATAGTATATAACAGTTTTGGACAATAAAAACTTTGCCTTCACAAAAATTAGCCAGTCAGTTAAGAAAAAAAGGAAATAAATTTGTGAGACAGCGTGAAATTCTTTTTGATATAAAATGAGGAGAAAAATTAAATTAATCAGAGAAGAATGTTTGAATTAATGTAAAAGGTTTCATTTCAGTTACTCACAACTAATGCTGAAGTTCTAAACTGTATATTTACTTACTAATTATATTATTGGCTTCTAACCAGCACACAGCACTTCAAAGAATTTTTTCTCAACAATCCAAGAAAGCTAAGTATTTCAAACTATCTCTCTTTGTCTACTTTGGAATCTACGCAAACCATATATCCCTTTGGTGAGCAACAAACTCTTTTCCCTTTGTTTTAAACATTTTTTAATATTATTTTGCATCAGATCATTTAATCTGTTGTATGAACATTTCCTCTTCATAACAATACATTGAAACTGAGGACTTTAAGAATTCTGATTTATTTTCCTGAAACAAGTTACTAACACTATTTCAAGCATAATGAATAAATTCATTATCTTGTTTTGTTAAAATTACCTGAGTGTTTCCTCATCATTAACATCCTTCATTAATCTTCTAGGTGTGGATAAATCGTCTGTTCATTTTAGCCTCATTGCATCAACAATTGCACATGTGTACATTACAATTCTGGACAATTTTCTTATTCCATTGATAAAAAATTGGTTTGGTGATGTTGAAAAGTAATTTTTTTATATAAATTTTTATAATTTCATATTGTTTTCATTTGAGGGCTCACTATTTGCCCATAGCTGGGACCCTAACAGGTGCTACCACACCGGCTCAGGGTAAACCTAGTAACAACAGAAATTAAGAGGTGGTCCCATACTTCTCAAAACCTCCAATCTCCCAATCAGAGGGTTTGCTGCTGGATGTATTTTATCATCATACCCAGGACTAAAAGATCTAGAAGTGTGGCTGTTAAACCAGAATGTTCAACTATAAAATAAAAAATGTTTTGTACCTTATATGTGATTAGTTTATTTATTGCTAAATAAAAAACTGAAGTGAACATCCTCTAAGTTTCCTACTTTCATAATTTTTACCTTAGGTTGTATTACCATGTCCTTGTGATGCCAAATATATTATTGTGGATGAGTGAAAACTTCCCAGCCAAGCTTTGACAAATTTTGCCTGATTTCCAAAGAAAAATGCCAGCTAGTATTATCTTCATGTTATATCCTCCCCTTTCTTTTAACTAATTCTGGATAAATGCATCTTATCAATTACTGCCTTCATTTGGTTTCAATAGGAGCAGTAATTGAATCGATTATTTGGTTACCTGGAAAATGCTTATAGTAGAGGACTCTGTTCTAATACCCTCATATATAAAACTACTATTCTTCTTTAAATGAAGATTGGCCTTTGGAACAGTCAGTAATGGCTGATTTCATTTGCTGTATGATCTTATGCATTCTATATTGTTGTAAACAATCCACTCTTCATCACCCATCATAATTTATTTAAAACAAACATTTTATGAATGTGGCATTTTTTAGATCAAAATTGTGGTCAAATTTATTTCTGTGTCTGACTAGTGCATTTGATAAAGCACAAAATATTTTTTTTATTTTATAGTTGAACATTTTGGTTTAACAACCATACTTATATATCTTTTAGTCCCAGGTATAATGATAAACTACATCTAGCAGCAAGGCCTCTGATCGGGAGATTGGAGGTTTTCAGGTGCATGGAGCCACCTCTTAATTGTTGTTGTTCCCAGGTTCACCCTGACCCAGGGGTGGTAGCACCTGTTACATTTCTGTTATAAAAAAATGTATCTGTGAACACAAACAGGACCTTACACATAACAATTTATCAAATGCACTAGTCATACACATAAATAAATTCAACCAAAATATTTTAGATTTAAGTAGAGAATTGCATAGAAATATAAAGTCCAGTAGTATTTTTAACTTGTCTGGAAGCCACACAAAAAAGTGACTAACATAAAAAAGCTGGTGTAAATGATTTTCAACATTTAATTTGTGTATTGAGAATATGTTGGTCATTTGATGTATTGTATAATACTGATTTCTTTCAAATAATGTCTTATGGGCATTTCTACACAAATGCTCCTCTCCAAGAAAGAATTGTTTTTTTATATTACTATCAATTAAGTACTGCAGCTCAATAATATCAAAATAAATTTTTTAAAATTTTTAAAAGGTGTGTTCAGTTTGCAAGGTAAATTCAATTATTGTTTTTCCATCTTTGATTGTTAAAAACAATAAACACGAATATGCTAATTCTGACTGACATGACAGAAATACAATTGAAAGCAATTCTTACGAATAATGTTTGTTAAAATGCAATACTTCATACATTTTTGCCTTTTGTAAATATTCCACTGTTCCTGTTTCTATTGGCAGAAAGACATTTGGAAATGAAACAATCACTAAAACTGTGTCTACTCTTTTTAGTAACTGAAAGAATTGATTAACAGCAGAAAAGATAGGGTAATACATTATCTATTCAAAAAGAAAAGTTTAAACAGATACATTGATAATTAATTCTAGCAGCAAATGTGTTATGGTAATTTACCCATGCACGCATGGACTCTCCCAGCTATAAATAGGAGAAGGTACTGCCTTTTGAAGAGGAAAGTTTCCAGCAGTCAGCTCTGACAGTCGGTCCGAACATTCTTGCTGTAACACTCTCGTTTGTATATGTTTGTATTACTGTTTTCTGTTAATATATTTGTTTAAAACAATTCCTCTCTTGTGTCTTTATTTCTGGCCCTAACAAGGCCACAACGAAATGCATATGAACAAACATTTTAAGGCAGAATACATACTCTGACACAAACAAGTACTGGCTTATGGCCACATTATGTTGAAACACTGGCTCCCATACGATCATCAAAGTTAAGCAACGTCAAGTTTGGTTATTACCTTGTTGGGTGATTGCTTGGGAATACCAGGTGCTGTAAGTTTAGATATATGGTTGGTTTAAGTAATAATGCCTCAGAAGTGTTAATCAGAGCCAAGTTCCAGTTGGACTTGTTATATTCACTTACATGCAAATACTCTTAAGAAAGGTATGAATCTTCCTTTTCTCCATCAAGCTATGGGTTAATTAGTAAGACTTGTATTACTAATTTTTTATTATCTCAAAAATAAAATTCTTAAAATCTAAAAATATTTTCTGGCTTTAAATAACCTGCAACAGGTTGATAACCCATAGAAAACGAATCAATCAATCAAGACAAACAAGTTCTATAGAAAATTACTGCTTAAATTTATCCCTTTGATTTTATGACTAATTTTTAATTCTGCATCCAAATAGTCCCAAATCCAAGTCATGCCCTCCCAACCATTAGTACCAACAGAGATCTTCAACATTGAAAAATGTCAGTCTTATGATTGACTATGATTCATTGTCAACTATGCATCATCATTTTCATACAAATTAGAACAAATGCCATACAAATTTAGTAGTAATGCCATTTATACTGAGAGATTGCTTTCTACAAATAGCCAATTATTCAAGAGAACACAACTCTTACATACACCAGACACACCCAAGTCAAGGTTTTTCTTTTTGTGTTGGTCTAGTTTTCTTTTATATAATTATTTTTGTAATTATGAATGGAAACTCACATTTCTGTCTGAATTCCTGGGATAAGGAGTTATCATTATTTACATTCGAGCAAATTTTCCTTATGTTTGTTGTTATTATCACAATGTTTTGGTTGCTATACCCTCTGTCTTCTTCAGTTGTCTGTCAATTTAAGCAAGCCTCAGAGAATTTTGAACTGAACTCTTGATTTAATCTAGAAATCAACAGACACCCAAAGTAGGCCAAAGAGCATAATGTCCATAACATTGTAGTAATAACAACAAAGATGAGGATGTTAGCCCAAATGTATTAGGTTGAGTCATAAATAATTTCTTTTTTTTAGGAACCAATTGTAATGATAAATGTATCATCCTGACTAACTGTTCCTTAAATACATCATAACAAGTGATGAAAAATGGATTACCTAAAACGATGTTCAACAGTAGAAACTTCCATATCCAATCACAAAAGTTGGAAGGGGGGTAATGTTCTGTGTGTGGTGGGATTGTCAAGTATTATTCATTTAGAGTTCTTAAAATACAATATAACCTTTAATTGCACATTTATATGTCCAGCAGATGAAACATGTCCATGTCCATAAAAGTTTGATTGAAAAGCACTCTGTACTTGTCAATGGGGAAAATATTGCTCCCCTCCATGACAAGACACGATCACATGCAGCTAGAACTTAGTTGGTCTGTGTTATATTCTGTGCTAATAGGAATATATACTTGAAAAACAAGGTGGATAGAATAAGTAAAGGTTTATTGTAAAAGCAGTATAATAAGAATAAAGGTAACAGTTATCCACAAGGTCGTCGCAAGTCAATCCAGTAGTGAGTGCTACTATTGGTAGTTCTCGCGTAAGTCTGAGTCATACTCAACAGATCCCAGCTAGACTCTGTAGTCTGTTGACTTACAGATACTTATAGGTAGTTACTACCTATAGTGTAGTCACTCATGGGGGTGACAGGTTATTCCATTACATCAGTCTGTTCTACCCTATGCAATATATTCACTAATGAATTATTACTTATTTCAATCAGTTGGAAAAATCTTTGATGGGGAAAGTTTTCACTAATTAAAACCAGATTCAAGAGTTATTCAAAACATTTTTACATCAAAACCTATGGAATTGTAATGAAAAGGCATCCAAGAAGTCCATGATAAATGGTAACAGGTCATTGTAAATAATGGTGAATGCATAATTGAATAAAATGGTGGTAAACATAGACCTTTGTGCTTATGGTATGATCCATCTCCTCCATTAATGAATCTGACCTGAACATATATATTCAGGAGAACTTTGCTGATATGTAGAGTATATGAAAGCTTTCTGATAAGTGACATGTATTGTCTAGAACAATTCTATTACAATTTAATATACACTTGTTAACAATTTTGAAAATAGCTAATTTACTCTGTCCAGAGAAACTTATTATTGAACACATCTGATGCCAAAATGAATTATTGTCACTGTAGAGTAATTTGCATGAACTTCTTGACCAGAGTTCTAATAAGCTACACTATCTCACCAAATAGAGGATTTAACAACACTGGATGGGATCTACATTAAAAAGAAAAATGAACTGGTTTCTAGGCATTTACTAGCTACAAAGCATCAACTTTCCTCAGACTCTGTTGACAGATTTTATCAAGCCTTGATAAAACTAAGTAAGGACTGTTCATTTTCTTCAGTATCAGAGGAACAATATTAAGTTGAATTGATCCAAGATGTCTTTATAAACAGGCTACAATCCATGGATATCCAACAAAGAATACTCAAAAACAGCAGCTTAACATTGCCACAGGCCTATGATCAGGCAAGATTACTAGATTTAGCAGAACAAATTGCTAAAAATTATGATACACTTACCGTAACGTCAGAGACTTCTCCACATATTTTGGCCCCCCAATCATACAAAATGCTAGGCTCACTCAAAATATCAGCCTTAACTAAATGCACATGTTTTTTCTATGGAGGCAAGAGGCACACAAGGTCATTATGCCCTGCTAGAAGGGGAAAATGCTATACATGCGGAAAGCAAGGCTAAAGTTTGTAAAAGTAAGAAAAAGGGGAGCAAAATGGTAACGTGCTCGGCATCATTGAAATAATAGAAATCACTGATAATGAACAGCGACTAAAAGAGCTGATTGACATGGGGAGGACAGAAAACTTTCTTAATGCAAGTATTGCAAAACTAAATTCATGAAGAATTTACCCATGCTTAAACAAAGTGGTGATAGCTAGCTCATCTCTTTCTATACAAATACTTGGATACTGTCAAGTCAATCTATGAGTAAAAGGTACTCTATACCAAGGAGTAAGAAGTCTACTAATGAAAGATTTATGCTGCAACCTAATATTAGAGCACAACTTCTTATGCCAACATTCATTAGTAGAAATACACTTTGGAGACTCCCGTCCTAGGTATGACAATAAACTACATCCATGTCCTGGGTAAGACGATAAACTACATCCAACAGCAAGGCCTCTGATCGGGAGGTTTTGAAAAGTGTGGAACCACCTCTTAATTGCTGGTGTTCCCAGGTCCACCCTGACCCGGGGTGGTAGCACCTGTTAGGGTCCCAGCTATGGGCAAATAGTTAACCCTGAAACTGAGGTAAAAAGCATTATTAAAGTGTAAAAATAAGTCTTAATACCAGAAATACTTTGTAAAAAATTATTACCAGAAATAAAATTTTTGAATAAAAAAACTATTACCAGCAATACATTTTTGAAAAAAAATATTACCAGCAATACATTTTTTTAAATAATATTACTAGCTATACATTTTTGAGGAAAAAATTTTACCAGAAATAGATTTTTGACAAAACAAAACATTACCAGGAAAAAAGTTGTCAGCATTAAATAACCCATTGGTGTTGATATGCTATAAAACAAAACAAACCAAACCTTTGAAGGCTCTAAGCCATCCTAGCAGCTATGAGAATGACCCAGCTCTCTTCAACAATTTAACACCGAATTGTAAACCAGTAACTACTAAATCTAGACGAAACACTGAGGAGAATAAATTATTTATCCAAACCGAAGTTGCCTGCATGCTGAAAGAAGGAATAATCAAATGCAGCCATTCACTGTGGAGAACCCAAGCCTTTGTAGTCTCCTCTGAGAACAGAAAAAAGTGAATAGTAATCAACTATTCCCAAACAATAAAATGGTTTACTTTGCTGGATGCCTACTCTCTGCCAAAAATAGACGATATGATAGAGAAAATAGCCCAAAACGGTCTATTTAGTATTCTGGTCCTTAAAAGTGCCTACCATTTGGTAGCAGTAAATCCCAGCTATAAACCCTATATGGACTTTGAGGCCAGCGGCAAACTCTATTAATTCACAGAATACCATCTAGCGTGACTAACAGAGTAGCTAGTTTTCAAAGAGTGACAGACGAGATAATATTGAAAGAGAACCTGTAAGGCACCTATGCTTGCATTGATAATGTAACTATTTGTGTGAAAAAATCAGGTGGAACATGACAAAAATCTTAAATTGTTCAAGGCGCCTGTTTAAAAATACAAGCTTACACTTAACCAAGACAAATGTTATTTTAGGCATAAAAATATAAATTTTCTTAGGTACATAATAAGTTAAACCAACATAAAACCCAATCCAAAATGTCTGAATTTATTACTCAGCCTACCAGACCCAAAAGATTTACCCACTCTGCACCATGCATTAGAAATGTTTGCACACTATGCACATTGGATTTCATCTTTTTCAGAAAAAATCCACCCACCAACAACAGTATCAAACTTACTGTTATCTCCTATAGAAAAGAAAGCATTTAATGAGTTAAAGAGGGTCATGGTGAAAGCAGCCATTACTACATCCAATCATACAGACAGACACCTCACAATGCTCTTTAACCCTAGAACACTAACCATCAATTAAAGTTACATCACTACTAACCATTGATATATCATACCCGATTTTGAAAATATCAAAAAAAATTTAAAATATAAATCTTTATTTGAAATCTTTTACATTTCAAACTTTGTACTTTGAGTTAACATTAATAGAAACTTAAAAACATATTATTTAGGTAAGAAAATCAGGTACTGGAAATTGTAATTAAAAATGCGCTGGGTACTATATACCCATGGTTAGTGTTCTAGGGTTAAGACAGTTGGGGAGGCCCATACCCTTTTTCTCCAGAACCTTGTCTAAATTGGAATGTAGGCATTCTGTAATAGAGAAAAAAGCATATGGTTTGGTTTAGTTTATTTTGTTTTACAACATATCCATCTCAATGGGTTATTTAATGCCGACAACATTTTTTATTGCTGGTAATATTTTGTATTGTCAAAAATCTGTTTCTGGTAATATTTTTCCTTCAAAATTGTATTGC